CATAAACTTTTGGGATTGACTGTATAGCCAATACATCCTTAATCTCACATAGACGTCTCTCGTTTCTTTTCGACTGTTTCTAAAAATAAATGAAAAGGAGCCTGGAATCCGCGACTAGTTGGAAGAGTTCATTCAAGATCGCTTTTCCAGCGTAAAATCAAACCACCCTCGCATGGGACTTGTTTTCTCTAATAAAGGAGCGGGGCCGTGAAGTACGTCGTTCCTTTCGGGCTCCCAACTTCCCTGATTGCGGGATAATCTCTCCGACAGCACTTACGGCTTCGACGAGAGGCGATAAGAATCGCATGCATCTACGTAAAAAGCGGCCAAAAAGATCTCCTCATTTTATTTAGCCCCTTCACTTATAAAACTGTACCGTTTAAATCATCATCCCGAAGCGTTGCCATCCCATTAATTTCCAAGGCGCGTTTATGTAATGCGGGGAACGGTAGAGACGGTAACACAAATCATTCAGTTTTATCTCGTCGAGTAATCGCCTTTTAACGCGAACCGTGCTACTTCCATTTGTACGGCTCTCTCCGACCGTTGGTCCCTTTTGCGTGAGATGCTCCCAAATTAATTTCCCGTGCAAACTGTTATATAAATTGAATGCTCTCCGGGTGCCCTTGTACTTTCTCAGTCCCGTAAGCTCATGCTACTGGTTTCTTCATTCAAAGAGTAGAACAAAAGTAATTGATGTTTACTTTTAAAACAGCAAAAGTCAAGTTGTAATTATTTATTCAGTATACGAAAATACGAAAATACGAAATATTATTTTAAATTGTTTATTAATCATTGATTTGGTATGACAGAAATACACTTTGGTATGCCATAATTTATATACACCTCATAAAATTATTAAGTAATAAGTGATACGTTTTATTGGTTTACTCTGTACGCAAATACTTCTTTCATCTTTTCTTCTTCTTCTTCTTCTTCTTCCTTATGCACTCTTCTAAAATCGTAACCCATATTACGTTTTATTCAAGGCCCATCGGCGACCTTGACCGGCAATCGAAGGGTTCAAATGGACGGGTGAATCAACGAGGTCCGCATGGTTTGCTTTGAAGGCAAAGGCGTGTCCAGCGGAAGCCACGGTAAATAAGTATAATCACGATATTTGCACGGTAACGTCCTTCTCCACGCGGCTTGCACACACGCGCTTGTGCGCTTTGCTTCCACTTTGCACATCGGTGAACCTCTTCGCGCTTCGCGCACACGGTACACGTACACGTCGGCCAGGAATTATTTTCCTTATTCTACTTAATAGCCGGCCTTGAATATACAAAGCATGAAGAACGCTTTTTAAAGTTTGTCATTACGCTTTTATGTCTCACATTTGCATGCCGAAACATTTATCCAAGGAAATTAAGATGATATTGGAGAACTTCATTAATGCAAGCGTAGTGCAAGATTTAGATAAGCAGCAACCATTATTCTAGCTTGGTGCAATTTACCTACACCGATTTTTAAGAAGTTTCTATTTTCTTTTCTAATTTATCAAGAGAAAATTAAAGCTTATTCTGTATATTCTCTTTTTTTTACAAATGTTTGACCATTAGTTTTTATATATTGATACCATTATAGTAATTTCTGTATACAAGTGGAAATTGTTCTTCATATAGAATATACACTTGTTTAGAAACAGAATATCGAATCTAAATTCATCTGTCCAAATATACGAGCTTGATTAATACGTTTTGCATCAAGTCGCAGCATTGTTTACTTCATCTCATAATTCACCGGATTTTTGCGAGGTTAAAATTGCTTGCGGTCTTCAGGCATTACATTCGAGTCGCTATGACGTACCGCGCGTGTTTGTGCGGAAACATCGGCACAGCTGCGTCGCAGATTTTCGCCGATCGTACGCGATCCTCCGGCGAATAATCAATCATTTGAACGAGTCTCGCGGCTAGAGTTCGAGTTATCCCGCCGTTAATTTCGTAACGCGTCGCAAACGAGGACTAGAACGCGGGAAAATGGTGACCTCGAGGCAGCGACCCACTGAGCTGTTAAATTAATGGTCAATCCATCTTCGTTCGAGTGAATGAAATTTGCTACAAGAAAATTGTTCCAAAAATTGGAACGATTCTAACGTTATTAAATCCCATAGAATATTTTACATGTAATTACAACATAAAAACATGAATTATTTTCAAAAACAGATTAAAAAAAATACAGTTGAGGGAATACGATTATATTTAATTTGTTATAATTTAAGTTATTTGGAGAACCGTACACGTTTCTAAAATTACTCACGTTCGTTTCGAGTATAAAGAGAAACAGATTCGTGGTTTCTCTGTTTCAAAGCAATTTCCTGACGAAAGGATAATCGGAATAAAGATCGTCCTACGCATCAATGGTACCGGATGACCAAAAGTGGCCGGTTCACTGCCAGTTTCCAGAAATCTCGCCTACAATCCGACGCGAACGCGGTTCGAGTACGAAGAAATCCTGGCCTGGCACGGTCACGTCATCGTGCGTGCCTTTACACGCGAAAATAGCACGCATCGTTCGCCCCGGAATTGGTCGCGCGATATTCGCAATTTCCGAATCAATATCAAAACAATACAACTGATATCGCATGGAACACACGTACTATCGTTGGTAAATTATTAGAACCTGATTCAATATCAAAACATACATCCGAAAGAGTACTTTTAACGAGTATTCAAGTGAAGGTTTCTATTTTTCTATTTTTTACAAGAATTTTTGCAAAATCTGAGTTATTCTTAATTTAAAAAATATTTATTTTACATTGAAATTATTACATAAAAATTGTTTAAAATTCCTTTATTTGTAACACGACTTTATTCAGGATTTGCTGTACGATTTGAAATATGATCAGGATTACATGATTTAGTATAATGTTTTCATAGCGATTGATAGACATTGAGCATGCATTTATGAACACGCGTGTAGAAATTCACTTCCAACGTTTTTATCGAAAGGAGGGAAATCTCATGCAGGCAGTGAATGAATTCGGAAATTGAATCACTTAAGGGAATTCGAACAACGCTTCCGTATTCTGCCTCACTCTGGACTAGTTTCCGTGGTTTACGAACCAAGTTAAAACCAACGGCGTCGTAAAGGTGATAAGACTACGCGAAATTAACATGTCAGCTTAAATCATTCAAAATCCGGGCACCTATTCGTCCAGCGTATTTGCATACGTAAGTGATTTTACTACTCTTATTTTAGCGACAATCGGTAATGATTATTGAGTCGACGGGCTCCTGCGCCGACGTTCCTTACGGAACTCGAAAGGGTTATTGATTTCCCTGGGTTTATTGTCTATTAACAGAGCCAGTTACTTTACTGCGTTGCAATTAACTTCCAAGAGTAGGTCTTCGAACGGCATAAGAGAATTAATCGTTACTAAACCATCGATCCTTATGGAAAATAAAATATTCATGATGTTCATTTAAAAAACGAAATCCAGAATGGAATTTAAACATAATAATATGGATTTTTTGTCTTGCATATTTCTGTGCTGTTAGACATTTTTATTTATATTTTATTGCACAATTATGTGATTAATCATCAGATTTAATAATGTAAAAAACGTTGACGGTAGAACTCGTTGCAGCGACGACCTGTTCTACGAAAATCGGTCTAATCGCTCGAAATATCCCACGACGTACGGCTGCACTGAAAATAAACAAAAAAAGTCCGAAAAATTCGGTGGCAAAACGTTTTCCAAGCACCGTTCCGTTGCGTTGACGGAGCAGGGACCGCAGGAACGTTTTTAGGTCGACCTGGTTATGTAACACGCATAATTTCCAAAAAGACGCTCGCGTCACGCTTTAGCGCTCCCTGCATCATAGTGATTTTATTTAAAAGAATCTCTTGTCAGTACATACACACACACACGAAGGAACTCGTCATAAGATTTTTGAACCTGCACCTATTATTATTTTGTGCAAATTGAATGCTTCGATTTGAGATTTTGGAAAATTCGCCAGACGTGGAAATAAGTATTTATGAGTACTTATTGCGCGAAGAAAATGTTTATCAACTAATGTTTTTTAATATAATAATTTTATAAACAGCTTTGTTATAATTTAGTCAAAGTTGATAAGAACGGTGCTGCACCCTTCTTGCTACGACGTCCTCAATTTCTATACCGACTTAGGCTCTGTATCTACTTAGAGATTTTCGGTACGAAAACGTTACTTGACTAATAGCTTTATCCAGGGAACATCTACATGAAATAGGGGCCTCGTATCTTTCCGAACTCGTAACGGGAGCCACGCAGATTTCGTTGTCGCGCGGTTCTTTCCCATAGCTCGTAGTTAAGAGTTACGAGCGTCTCGTTAGGCATTCCTCGCGTAACGATTTTACGAGGCGGGCATACATCATCGGGCCGCGTTTCTTCCTTGACACGGGGCGCCGCGAAAGATCAGAAAATGCGGGCAGCTGGCTCGTTCAAGCTCTAAATAAAACGCTCAAGTGCAACCGGCGAAATGAAACGCAATAAAACTTATCCGCACCGCAGCTCTTTCTCTTTCTTTTCTCTCCTTCCTCTCGCTCCGTCTTTTGTGAACCTTCCGTTGCCACGAACGATAATTCAGCGCCGTCCAACCCCTCTCGTGTCGCTATCAATTGTTGTAACAACTCGAGACCACCCGCTATATTTATGTACAAAATGTATTTCTAATATAGCGCAGATAAAGCAAAAGTATCGTATAGAAACTTCGAAGAAACTTGCTCAGAGGCAATAATTATGAAATATTGCGAATCCAGTCTATTTTTCTTGTTCGCCTTTTACTATTTTCACCATCTTACCGCACGCTATTCCTGTTCCTCATTCTTACTACTGTTTTATGAGATTGAATTTCGTTTTATTCCTGTTTTTGGAATTGTCTCTGCTGTTCCTTTGAGATTGCTGCTCGGAGCTTGGGCATCGGTTTTATATCGCCCGTCTCATAATCGTTTTCTTAGTCTTCGTCCCTCTTGCGATGGGCAAATACAATTTCCTCCTGTGTTCTTTCGCGAAGGGTTGCTGCGAGACTCGAATGGAGGCTGCGTAACCTCTCGCAAGCGAGGAGACGTCCCGTCGGAACGGTTGCGAGATTACAGAATCGATAAATTGATTGGTCTAATTTGTCTCTGTCTATTTCGTTACATCAGTCGTCTGCGAGAGATGATCGAACGTTCTTCACTACTGCTCAGAGCTCGAGGATTCGTTACGTTTTACAATAAATTTATGATCTTTCGTTGAGAATGTGTAGGAGAAAGATGTACGATAAATCCTGATTCAATTTCTGCGGTACAATCTCGTAATATCTTATCCGGGATAATTATTAGTTCCCGGAACATCCTCCTTGAATACTTCGATACGCTTTGCCATTATCGATCGCTTCGGCAGCATTAAGCCAACAATGTAATGCTCTTTAATTAGCATAACAGTATTGCCGTTGAACATTCGGTAATCCGCTTTTGTAGTATCCTTGGCATATCGTCGTGAACATACAGCGGCTGAATCCAATCATGCAAAATCATCGACGAATTTTAATAAAGGCTTTTCATTTTGAGAACGAGAATATTTTCTTAAGCTCGATGCCTGTTTTTGTATGAACATCATTTTTGTGGAAAGTTGCTCGAGGGAGAGAACACGAAATTGTAGACACTGATCGACGGCGTATTGGGACGGATAATTCGATCAATTGCAATTTACTCGTTCATTTCGCGCTCGCAAGGTCAAAACCTGAACGAAACAGGAGTAACGAGGTCCGTCCCTACGGGCGAACAGGAAACAGCGAATGGCCACCGAGAAAAGCGTCGACTACTTTTTCGGTAATTTATCGAGTAGCATCGATTTTGTTCCGAGTACAATATTAATTCGAACGCGATTCAAAACAGTTCTATTTCTGAATGTATGATTTAATTTTATTCAATTGAACTGAGGGCACGGAATCGATGGTGACAATTATTTTGATGTATTTTAGAAACACATTTGTTTGCGTTTGACCGAGGAATTGACAGAATTAAATGAAAACAGTTTCGATAAATCGATTTCGAATTGATCCTAACTTTATCCAGTAATTTGTTATAATTACGATACTTTTAATCATTCAATTATTTCGAACGAAGAGATCAAATGTAGATACGAAAAAAATGTTGATTCTATTATTATATATAGACGTGGTTCATCATGATTTATTATCGTCACTGAATCACTCTTCTAATTCTGTGCTGTTTAGTCGTGATTTTAATAGAACCATTGAAGCTCATTCCCATTTTTTATTAATGTTCTAACGAGATATTTCTTTAAAGAATGTATATAAAATATTTACTTGAGAAGTGAATGTCCAAATTTATTTTCCTAACCAGATACATAATCGAAATCGACAAATATATCATTCTTAAGCAATTCTATTTTCTTCCGTAGACCGTCGATTTATTTTTTTTCCCCGTGCAAATTGGGGTCGTCCTCTCGAACGCCAGAACGTGGAAAATAGTTGCAACGTGAGTCACATGATTTTTATCGTAGTTGATCTGAAACTTGCTTTACGACTCACTTGGACCGGGGACCACCGACTCACTTGTCACTTTGCATTTCTATGAAGAAAAAGGGAGAAAGAGAGACTGGAAGGAACACGCGTGCACACGAGAAGGTGTGATGAATATTAAATAAACGGAAACGCGGAACGGGGACATTTCAACCCCCCAGTCCTCGCTTCGTTTCGCGCGTGTTCTCTTGCTATTAAATTCCACATTATTCGTACCAGACGAGTACAGAGTTAAGAATTGCCTTGAAAACATACGTGGTACATTTTAATAGAAAAATTATATACAGGCACAAGTCAATCCATTTGATAGAATGATTCCATTAATAGAAACTTCCTGTGCATTTAATATAACACAATGCTTATTCAATGCTTTTATTAAAATTCATTTTCCAAGTCTCTATACTAAAAATCAATAAATAAAAAATAGTTATATTGATTGTCTCTGATATAAAAATGTTTGAACCGCAGATTAATTTGTCCAGTCGTATTTGACACGTGAATTGGTATTTGAGTCGCGGAGATTTGAAGGGAGCGAGTACGAATGATCAAATTAATGCACCCTTGTTTGAACAATTAGTGGAGGTTTCTTAAGCGGCACGTGACCTTAAAACATCGAATTGGCCCGCAACGTGATCCGGAGGGGAATGCCTTCGGAAGTCCAAGTTACGAGGTCCGAGATACGTCATACGTATAATGTAGTTGATAACGTGACACGCACAATTCGTCGCACGCGACTCTGTTATCACGCGATTCTAATTAATGCAACCGTTCGCCTATTCCTTCCGCTTCAACGTAATTGGTGTCTTTCTTTATGTAGAACTTAGTCACGTATGTTTAACTCAATTTAATATTTCATGTATAATTCATTTACTTATTTTAAGTCATGACGAATTAGAAGACTATTTTTACATAAATTATATTATTCTGTAATTATGGTTGAGAATATTCTTTTTCGTTTGCATATGTTAAACGGTTTTCGTTTGCATATGTTAAATGGTTTTTAAGCTTTACTATGATAACATTAATAATCAATTCTATTTGATGATTAGTAAAAAATTACGTGAAATAAATTTGCCACTGTATGCCATTGAGTTCTGTTCTTTCTCTTCAGTGTAAATGATAAAACTTTGGATAATATGTAGTTGCATTAATGCACTGACCGATATTGAATTATGATTATGCTCATATAGCCGAGTACAAGCTCTTTGTTAGCGTCAAATTCCTGGAATCGAACGAACTGCAAGTCTTAGCCCCAGTGTTTATTAATTATCAATCCAATAAAACTGATCGTTCGGAAAGATGGCACGGTGGCTGGTAGTGTTTGGCCGGGCGGCCAAATTGGCATCGTGCCCGCGTTCGTGCAAAAAAGGGACCCGTGCCTGTTGCAGACAGATCGGCAATTAAAACGCTTATTAATAACTACGGGGATTAAAACGCAAAAATTTCGAACGATTCGTCGTCACCGGCATTAATCCCGTCGAATGGAAATCGCGAAGATTGTCGAGTCGTCCCGTCGACAGCTCCGCGAATCGATTAATCGGGCGCGATTGCCGGGACGGGGACAGGGACACGTGTCACTTCGAGTTTGACAAAGATCTCCATGCCGAGTCGCTTCGACGCCCGGGATACCACCAGTATCCTTTGATCTGCTTCTGACAGCTTTATTTCGCATTACTCGGATGTTATGAAGTTCTCGTAAAGTTCGCGTTACATTACGTCCCGTTCTCTGTGATTCTGATCGGCGCCGGATCGCGTCAATATCGAGACAGATCGTGAGTTCAAAAGGGAATCCTTGAATTTTTTATATATAAGTTTTCACGTTTGGGTGCATAAATATTCAATGAGTCAAGTCTCGAAATGAGTCGTGCAGATCTCCCGTCGACGCGTTCATAGTTATTGTCACGTTTCACTAATATTGAGAATTTTCCTGTTTAATACAAGTTGAGAGTCTGAGTCGATGAATAAAGCAGAAAATGGAAAATGTATTTAGAGAATGTCGCTGCCGCGTGCGTGGATTCGCAGGATCCAGGAATATCTCGATTTATATCTATGCACAGTATTTGTATATTATAGAATCAACGATTGAAGTAATACTCACCGCTGTCCGCGTAGGTCTCTGAACCGTATCCGTCCTGAAGACCGTTCGCCCACGTGCCCTCGTACCTAGCCATGGACGTAGTCGATTGTCTGACGCCGTATCGACCCTTGAATCCTTGCGTCCACTCGCCACGGTAGATCCACCGTCCACGGGTTTCCATTCCCAGGCCATGGCGTTTACCGTTCTGCCACTGACCCTCGTAAACCGAGCCGCTAAAATCGGATATCAGGGTTGACAATACGTGCGCATGCAACCTACACTCGTACGCCTTTCGCCCCACGCAAGGGTAATGGATGCCTCCCTTCAAAAGGATGGTACTTGTTGCATTTTAAAGATTTTTATCAATCAAGCTTATATCACGTTTCCTATCTGATCAGGATTGAAAGTTTAAACCGTACAAAGATCGTTATTTAAGTTCGTAAATTGGATTTGATGTATTATAAGAAAATTCAATGCAGACATCATAAATGCTGCATGTTATATATAAAAGTATTCAGAATATTAGTAATATTAGAAGGTAAGCAGATTTTTTAAACAGATTTCATTCTACATAAAATCTAATTATTCAACTTTCGAAATTTCGATATGAAAAGATTAGAAAGGCAGTGACAGGAGTTAATTGAAATAAGAAATTTGATTTCACTGGTTTGTTTTTGCGATAAGTACGACGCGAAAGGAAGTCATTATCGATGCGTTCCTTTGAATGTGGCCTTTTCACCAGCTGCTCTCGCCTTGATGCGACTTGAGACGAATACATTTCACGGGATAAATCCTCGTTGGCTTTTCGAGGGAAAAAAGAACGGATCGGCCGATCTCAAGAAGCAATCTTTCTTCCTCGAAGCCTTCTCTCTCTCTCTTTGCCCGATATCGAGGAAGGAAAAGCAAATTATTAATCGGTTCTCTCGCGAGCACGTGGACATCGTGCCCTTTTGATAGGAAAATCTTGCATCCAATAAACATTTATCGTACGCTACACTTGCATCTTTTACCTTTCTTCATAAACCCAGATAATGCATCACCGAGTCCAGTGAAATAAAATTTCAATTCAAATCTCATACGATATTCGTCTATAATTTTGAAAGGAATCGAGGGATTAAGAATGTAATTTCTCCTTTGAATCTTTCATTAAGATTCCAGATCGAATTTTTAATAGTATAGGGAATGGTTTCTGTTTACTAAACGTTAATGCGGTAAAAGCAACAACTCCAATAAAAAGTTCATTACGTTTGCAAAGTGAGCGTTAAATAAGAAGATCACGTTCGCTAATCGACTGTGAATCATCATTAACATCATCGGGATTTCTAGCAACCATTAGCGTATTTATCGAGACGGTAAGCAGAATACACAACGCCGACTTTAGTGAGACGAGAAAACCTATTTAGATTTACCGTCTAGCTTCTTAGTATTTTTAATTTATCATAAGTGCTGGCAATTGCTACGTTTACTTACTTTCACGAGAATTACGTCTCGAAAATTGCGACATTCAGCGCGATTCGCAAACAGCTCGGAAACTCGTTTTAATTAACGGCGACCGGGTCGGTTGTGATTGAAAATCGCGTTCGCATCGATCGAGAAAGGAAACTCGAGGAAACGTAGAAAATCAAACGAGGTCGCTTGCATTCATTTTATGAATGGATCACCGATATTATGTTTTTCATACGATCTGTGTTATCGCGCGCAGCTCGTTCCGTAAAAACCTATCAACTTTCAATGATAAAACTCGTGAAAACTCGCTACGGGATCGCTATTAATAAATTTTATGAATAGAATCCCGCGAACTGCTTCAACCGAGTGTACAATATTTGTTGCGATCGCAAATCAAAAATGCATCTCGTTCATTAACTGGACAATATCACGTTTTAAATCCATCGAGTAAAAGATTTTTGGCAAACGGTCTCGAACCGGAAACTCTTCTTTCCTCAGGGAAAAACAAACCAATAAAATCCACGTTTTTATTAACCTCGGCGACAGAGATAATAAGTGTTATCAAAGATAATTTCATCGGCGAACGACGGTCTCGTCATTGCGGGTTCGTCATCAACGAGCCGGGATTTATACGGCATCCCTAGGAAAACGTGACTTGACGAAGACCTTGCTCTAATTTAAACAGAAACGAAACGGACGGAATCTCTCGGCCCAGATACGTGGTATACGCGAGAAACACAGGTTTCCCATCTTCGCCCCTCGTCCTCCTCACTTTTCTCTCTCCCCTTTCTATTTTTTCCACGGGAATTTCCACCCTTTCAGCGTCTAGTGAGAAGACGCACTTTGATCGCCAAGCGGCGAGAATATTAAAAAAAGAGTCGCGGCGAGAAAACGAGTCCGTTGCCTAGGATCCCTAATATCTTTAATTGCTCGTTGCGAGGACGAAGTAGTGGAGTCAACAATTTCTGCGCCATACGCCCTGTTCTGTACGAACTTTTGTTTTACTCGATTATCGAGATTATTATTGAAATCTTTGCAGTTCGAAATTTGAAAACGGTGGACGTTTCGTTAAGCATGTATTGGCTATACAGTCAATCCTAAAAGCTTATATACCTTAGAAAAACGCATTTCCTATAATTAAAAAGAAATCAGACGTCGGAAGAATAATGCTAATAATAAATAGCTACGTGCTAAAAAGTGTAGAAGGAAATATCCAATCAAGTATTGACGCTGACGAAAAATTCTTTTTTTCAAAATTGCGAAAAATGCTTCAAATAAAAGTTGTTTTTCTTCTAATTTCGATATTTAACGAGTTACGTATGATTATTTGGCATTTTATTGATGTTGACGAAATCCGACCATCCCAGCGTCGAAACTGCGAACTTTTGGCAAAAAATTTCATTTTTCCTTAATTACTCCTAAACCGTTGGATATACAGAAAAATTGCATCAGACCTTTCTTGTAGAGGACGACGAGATCTACAAATTCTGTATAAAATTTTTTCGCTAGCATCAATAGTTTACGAGTTATTGACGTAAAACGAAAAAACAGTTTTTTGCAAATTACTCGTTAACTATTGATGCTAGCGCAAAAATTTTATACAGAAATTGTAGATCTCGTCGTCCTCTACAAGAAAGGTCTNATGTATTTAATTAGTATTTAATTAGAGAGAACAATGCTTGACCGATCAGTAGAGTTCGGAAGAGAAAAACAGATTAGACTCTTTTAACTAATAATTTTCTATCATGTTAGCCAGTCGCATGAAATAAGCAATTTCGCATAAAATCGACCAGCCGATAAGAGCGTGTTATTATAGTTCCCGATTAGGGACCTTCTCGACGTGCGTGATTATTCGAGATAAGATCGAACAACTTTTTCCTGATGCGTACCGCCACGGAATTCACGGTACATAATCGTTACATGGTTAGTTTGTAATAATACTTAATCGATGAGGAAACAAAAATCTTGGGTCATATCGTTGAACTCTAAGTAGGTCACAGATTTTCTGGTTTCCAAAAGCGTTTGTAAAAGAATCGTAGACTGTGATAATTACATTCATTCAAGAGTGTAATTAGTTTTTTAATTCGAAATTAATTGAAATATAAAAATAAAAAGAAAATACTGAAGCAGTAGTTCATGAAGAAGAAAGGTAAAAGTGGAATCGATTTCATGATCATTCATTTAAAGGTTTTATGATCAGACTCTGTTAACGCGAAGTATGTACTGCGCACTCGGCGATAGTCGCCTAAATATCGGAATGTTTCGGATAACGGTGGCGTCCCAATAATTGACATTCGATGATGTCGGGTATATTCTTGAACAATCTGGAACATCGATACATCAAGGTTGACCCATTATCCGAATATTCCTGGTCACCGAATGTTGTCCAGGGCTGATCAGTCATTTATGATTTCGAGTTAATCAAATATTAGTTCGGAACGTGTCAATATATGACGTACATATGTACGTATGTGTAGCGGAGAGAAATTCGCGGGAATTTTTCGGTCCGCCCTAATCCCGCGTTCCCATTGATGAACATCGCAGTGCGTGGACTAAAAATACATAAAAATGTGGGTCAATTCCCCTATACGCTGAGACGCACGCGCCCGTCGCAGCCGCGTGTTAATAACAATTATATATTTACGGGTTCTCGTTGCACCGGATCTATTTAAAGACGCGTGACAGAATTTCTTCCGGAACGATCAACGACTCAAATATAGTCGTACGTTGCGTTATATGATTTCGTAGAACGGACCGTTTCATAGTATTTCCTTAAACCGTGTGCTCGTATTCGGTACAACTAGTAACGGAACTTTTGGAAATTTCACGTCTTCGCTAAATATTCCAGAGGGGAATGAGGCGACAAAGCGTCGCTTCGTTAAAATTAAATAGAAACATCGTCGAAAGACCGAAGAAAACGAATTTCAAATGCAACGGTTATTTCCTCGGAGTTTGAAACAGGAGCCGAAAGTCCTGAGAAAAATTCGAGGGAAGCAATTGTCTAGGCTTGTCCATGAACTACGTCCTAACCGCTCGCGATCCCAGTGACCCGGACTCGTTGTCCTTGCACTCCGTGACCCAGTTTCAGGATCGGGAGATTCCCGCCCGGCCCCAGGTACACCCCGAGATATACGTGTCAAGGTCCTCCGTTCATCTCGAAATGACGCCGTTAGAGACGGCTCCCGGCGATAGAATGAAATCAGCCGACGACTCGGTATACTCACAGCACGCTTCCCCTTTCACTGAAAAAGCTTCCCCTGTTTCGTTCCCGTTTATCTGTAACGTCTTCGCGATTCAAGAAGCTGTTCAGTGCATTATTTTCCGGAATGAATGAAAGACCGTGGAACCGGTTTGATAAAACAGCTTTTCCCGTTATTAAGTTTCAGGAAAATCGCGTCGAATTATAAATTGTGGGAGAGTTCCGAAAACTTGGTTTAATCGAGTGGAACGCATTGTTCTTAGAATGTTTTTCCTAGATCAAGAGTGACTGTGTTAATTCTCGTACGATTCCAAGGGGCAGTTACCGAGATAGGAAGTCGAGGTCGAAGAATTTAAGATATTGAAAACGTTGCAGAATGCAAGATCGTATTCGAGCGAGAACTGACTCAATCTTTGCATATCAGAGACCATTAGTAGATACAGTTTACGATTTATTCCAGAGGGAAGTATCGCGATTTTCTACAGGACGTTTATCGACCTAAGAAACGTCTTTTTTCTAATTCGAGGCACCCGGCTTTTCCGAGCTGTTCAGTACTTTCGCCTACTCGGATCGTATCGGTTATTCGAACCGGATAGCGCTCGATTCGTTTTTCCGAGTATTCGAACAACTCTATCCTCTTACCATCTTAAATAACCTTTTTATAAAAATAAATGAACAGAGAGAAAGTATCGGTCAGCTTTTCGATGATGTCACAGCCGAGAAACGTGTCGAACGCGATAAGCGACAAAAGCGCGAGGAGCGACATGGGGGCGAGAGGCGTCAGTTGAAAGCTTGCCAGAAATTAATGAGAAAGTGAAGCGTTTGATCTCACCTAGGCCAGGTGTAGACACCGGAGACCTCGAACCCATAGTGCCAGCTACCGGAGTAAGCACCTTGGCCCTTGGGTCCAGTGCAGACACCGTGTCCGTGGGCTTTGCCGTCCTCCCAACCGCCGCAGTAGGTGCCGCCATCGTCGAAATCGAATCTGCCACCGTTCACCTGGGCATGATTAGACGCCGCCGTGGCGGTACCTGTCGCTCCAGGTTGAGCCGAGCTTATGCCACCTGTTTGCGGCAATTGGGCACCACCTGCCACCCCGTTCGGTGCCCCGGACTGTTGCCCGGAATGCGGCTGTTGCTGCATCTCTTCGCTCTTCTAAAACCACCACCACCACCACCACCACCACCACCCTCGGCGAGTCGTCCCTCTTTCTTCCCCGCCTCCCTCGTACTTTTTTCTCTTCCTCCTCGTCGTCGTGATCGTCGTCGTGATTTTCGTCGTCGTCGTCTTCGTTGTCTTCGTCGTCGCGATCACCCGTTACCAGAAATCGCACACGTGTACCGCTATCGTCGGACGTCGCTTCTCCGTCATCCTTCCTCTCTCTCCTGACCGCCTCCACGTTTACTTCACGCGTTCCACCGATAGATCTCTGCAAGATCACCGAACAAAAAACCTTTCTCTCGTCGCTGGCAATCACTTCCAACGACTCGAAGCCGTCCCGGAAAGCCACTCGCGTTGGACGTATCTGTCCGGTTTCGAACGGAATCGCCGCACCGGTATCGTTCGACGGATCGGACGAGACTCGGTTCACGGAACCGATCGAGTAAATTTTTTAACCGATTCGACCGATGGCATTTTCGATGTCAAGGATACGGTTTTTTACCTCTTCTTTGTGTACGGTCTATAAATACGAAATTCAGCCCGAAGCGAGGCTAGACGAGAACGCTCTAGGATTCGACACGGGTTAATTTTAGTCGCCGTTGGTCGGACAGCAACGGACCTGAGAGAAACATCATCGCGCCGCGAGATCCCGAGTCTCGGTACTACGATCCACCGGCCGTGTAGATCCTCTCCCCCTACGTGACCCAAGAACGGCCTCGCGTGGCCTTGAAACGCTCCGTAGCATGCGGAATCGATACACCCGGCTTAGATTTACCCGAGGCACTTCTTCCTCCTACCCTTCCTCGCTCACCACTGCCCGATCTACCGATGGATCGATCGATCCTCGATTATCCTCACGCGCGCACGCAGCCACTCGCACTCGCACCTCATCGACGGCCAGCCTACACGCTGCGCTGCTCCGATTCCCGATCGAGCCAACACTTGGTTTCGCGCCACGAATCGAATAAATGGCCAGTTTGAAATCAAACTCTCGGCTCGATCTCGAGGCAACGTAAACGGCACTCGACGACGCACAAGGGGCGGGTGTATCTGGCGATTAACGACGCACAGTATCCGTCTACGAGCGTCCGACGTGCAACTCGATGTCCGAAGAAAACGCGACAGATTTTTTGTCGAATTCGTCGAAACTCGATGGTCGAACAGCAGCCGCGGTTTTGCTGTCCGCCTGACGCCGTTACGCAACGCTTCTATAAGCATCCGTGATCCGCTCGGAATGTCGCCCTCTCTCGCTCGCTCTGCCTCCGGCCGCGCCGTTCCGTCTCTCTTCCTCTTCTCGATCTCTCTCCCTCTGCCTCCCTTCCTCTCTCTCCCTTCGTCGTTTCGCTCGGTTTGGCCCTATGCTCGTTCGTCTGTCCATCCACCCAGTCGACGAAACGAACGCGCGAATGCTCGTTGGAGCACCCTCGTTCCTCTAGTTTGGCCACCGTCCCCCGTCGACCAAGAAGTAGAACAAGAAGAGGATGAAAAGCGGCAGCAGCAGCAGCATTCTTACTCTGCCGTTTCCCTGGTCCTCCTACGTCCGAACAGCGGCGGCCAGTGAATCAGCCCGCCTCTCGTCGGTCCTAAAATATTCACTAGACTTCGCGACTTCGGGAGAGTTTCACGAGGAACGGTGCCGCTCGGTCAGGAATGTAGAACGATTCCTCTGATCGAGGCGAGTCGAGGACCGGTTCGCCACTACTTCGTCCGCGTACCGCTTTCAGGATCGTGTCAATAGAAATTGAACAGAGGCTAACTAAGTCGAACCAAAACCACTGGCTTTCGCGCACACGCGTCTTCTACCTTTTATTCGTTTTTCCTACTCTTTTTTCACGCGGAAGAGGGCGAGCCTCGAGAGATCGAGGCGATCATCGCTGGTATCCTGGTAATCGTGTTCGCGTTCGCGCGCGTCCTCATGATCGTCGAGAGGGTCGGGGCACACGCACCGGGTAGTGGTTAACACTGTCCGCTCGCGCTGATCAGACACGATTCACCCGTTAACCTAAACGTCCGGTCCGTCCGCTCTAGCGACGCTAGAGCGGTGATCACGCTCGAGCTCTAGCCTCGAGGTTTCTCGGCTAGCTGGCTAGGAGCTTCTATTTTTATCATGGGGTTGCGAATTGTTCCCCACGCCGCGTCCGGCGACGATGACGGCGGCGGCGGCGGCGGCCCACGAGGCGGCAGCTCGAGCGGACAGGAGCGGCGAGGTTCGCCAATGCGACCGGGTTCACAACCATTTATAAATAGTAGAAGTTTCGCGCGACCGCGGCGACGCTCGCGGAAAATCGGCGACGATTTGCCGGAATACGGCGAATTCATACTTGACCAAGATTCATCGTCACGCCGAAACCGAACCGTCAGCGGGTGAAGCAACGGAAGGACATAAGTCAATTCTCTTGCCACGGAACAGTTCTACTATCTTCTTCGTCTTATTTATTTATGTTTCGTATCGAACGTCACGACGGTTAAATTTAGGCTTGCCCAAATGATCCATTTCTTGCAAAATGACTCACCGTATATGCATATAAAACTAGTCATTCAACTTTACCATACGGATAGCGCGAGTAAAGAAATCTATGATTAATTCGTCTCATCAGTGGCGACGAATTTAAAATTCTTCATCGAAATTCATACAGAGATTCGTCTACCAGGGCTTTTGAGCTTTATGAAAGATTTACGAGACGACCGAGAAACGTTTGGACGGGCCGATTCATATCGAATCCTGGCAGAAAAAGGGATTTCGTTTATCGATGATTAGATTTTAAAAAGAATTTACGGTGTAACCGGGACGTCTGAACGATTTGATTCATCGATGAACGCGGGGAGGTCGCGGAGTTCGTGTTCCCGATTAACCAGACGTCTTGTAGAACACGTGTACCTTGACGCGATGTGGATAAAAATGGACGATATTTAGAAATAGATTCCTCCAACGGCACGTCTCTGAATTGGTGCGACTGCGTGCACAGGAGGAAGCATGTATCTCGTAATTAGCATTTGTTGATGCACGGCGTAGGTAGACGCTCGAGAGACCCGGTAATGGACACTATAAATGGCGTTAGAGAGTATCACGGCGTGAATGTTTATCCAGATCTGTACGATTACTAACCCGTACGTGGGTGAAACTTACGTGTTTCGGAAGTCTGAATCAAATATGGAGTAAACGCGTAAGAAGAAGAAACAACAATCATATCCACCGCATGCGTTTACCGAAACATCCTTTCACAGAATCGAGGAAATAAGGAAACGTCCCGTGACCCGTCTCGCGTCTCTGACAAAAGAATCTTCGGTCTATGTAGAGGAAATTGAAGAAGAATCGAGATTTCGATCAATTCCGTTAAAAGGTGTATAGCCGGTGCATCATATGACTGCATTTTTGATGTTCTGCACGCGACCCGGTGATGTCGGTCAGTTACTTTCCTCCCGGCGTAAAGGCTGTCTCGAATTCGTCGCGATCGACAGATCAATGATCGTGAAACAACGTTTTTAATGATCGTATGTACGTATTCTCCAACGGGAAAAATACGGTGACCAGCGAATGAAAACCGACGACGTAGAACAGCTCCCAGTGCTCGTCCTCCCGCTTTTTTATATAACAAAAATCAATTAATCGATCCCCCACCGATGTGCCTATTGTTGCACGCAACAACGTTAGAAATAATTATCTACAAGTATGAAGTACGTACGTACACCGATGATGACGCAGCCAGGAGGAAAAAGAAAAGAAGGCTACAAAGCTCCGGTACACCTTCGTTATTAAAATAACTCCTCCTCTTAAAAGAGGATCGTTTCCTTCCCTCGAAAAGAAACGTGCCAACTTTAAGAGACCCGATCGAACGACGCGGAGGAGGAATCAGCGCTCGGTTCCCGGTGAACCAGTTTTCCCGGCGCGGTTCGAAACCGTTTCTTTTCGCGTTCAAAGACCAAAAAGTAGTATCGGCAAGTAATAGCGCGACGCTTTCGTTCCACGCATGCCTCTTCTACCTGCGGATGCGTCCGACCGCATCGTGGTCGCGAATTGCCTTCGGCAACCAACGCGAGTGTCACCCGGCTGCTGACACGGCTATACAGCGCGTCCCGTGTCCACTTGCCGTATCGAAAAGATAAATATATTCATCTTAGATGACATTGAAAATAAATCTTAAGTAGATAATCTGTAGTTAAAATATGAGTTCAGATGATCGTACGCATAGATCCATTTTGGGACACTCTGTACTCTGTATAGCTATACGATGGCACGAGACGCGGGAATACATAGGTACAATCGGTACCTGAGGAACTGTACATAGGATCATGACGTCGTTATTGTAGACCAACGTTAAAGCCGATCAAATATGTACTTGTTTGATTCTGTCGATATTTGATTATAGCAAAAAATCTCGTGGAGTCACGGATGAATAACGTAGAATGATTGGTCGAAAGAGGTGAACGGCTCGGATATCGGTCCATTAAAAATCTAGACTGATATTTTCGAAACTGTGTCATCGACCAGAAACGGACTGAAAGTTTTTCATTTCCAATTGATCGAAGGAGTTTACTTAAACGAAAGCGAAACGCAAAAGTTGTGACCGGCGAGGTAGAAATAGTTATTTAAAAATCACGGCCCTAGTCGTGATTCGGAGCGCAGCTGCAGGAATACCAAAGAAAACACACGGAAATAGAGAACGGCTAGAGCAGATAGAGCGCGCGAGCTGTGCTCGCGTGTCACTGATAAAGCGAGAGGAGGAAGAAGAAGCTCGCAGTCCTTTTCCAGGACCCGGGGGTGGCGTCTCGTCGAGAATCACACACGTCGCACACGAGCCCCCCGCGGCATGCACCGGTGCGTAGATTTTTCGGCGGCCTCGCACTTCCGGTCGATCGATTTTGTAACGCGACACGTGCGGCTTTCCCGACGCTGCTCCCTTTGTATACGCGTGTCCCGCACCACACGAACTTGGAAAAACACGTTGTGCGTTTTTCCGCACACGTGCGCGTCCCAGCCATGCACACACGACACTTGTCAAGCGCACCTTCGCCGCTGCGCGTTCACGCGTGCAGCCCCCTGCGGTACGGGTACAAGAGCACAGGCACAGGCACACGCACTCAACCAGACGCACGAGTCCCGTCGATATTACGTTCGGGGCCGTCTATCCGGACGCGAATCGAAAACGGCGATATGTACCGTGACGTTCCGCGGTGTCCCGACGTTGGAACGTCTAAAAGCCACCTTAATCAGCTCTTCTGCCCCCTTTCTTCGTTCGTCTCCGTTCCCCTCTTTCCCGATCGTTCACCTATAGCCGTAGCCGCGGTCGCTCGTCGCAGTTGCCTCCTTGGACCGTACCCTCTTCCGCTTCCGGTCGACTCGCGTTCCCGTTTGGCTCGAGCTCGAATTTTCACGCGCTCCTCGACGATTAAAGATCGTTTCGTTTTACTGGTCGAGGCTCATTCGCTCTCACAGTCTCACCCTTGCGTTTTCGACGTACACGCACCGTCGGATACGGAGACGTGCGTCAGGGTGGTGGCATGATTGCGACTATCCACCTCGTCGTGCGTCGCCGTCGGCGCTGCTCTCGTCGGGCATCCGACGCCGGCGTCGTGGCGCCCCGAAACATGCGCCGAGAAATTGCGATGGCCGCAATTCGACCTCCGTCTTCGGCGGGATACGCTTGACTGATCGTTGTCGCGAGGATTCTTTCGTCTGAATAATGAAAATCGTCTCCCGGTATTTACATTACGATTTGCCTCACGTTTTCAAGTTCTCTCGGATTATTCATCGTTTTATGATAAATAAAAATAGAACTTGTAACGAGATGTTCTACTGCGGAAGAGTATATTTCTTCCGCGACCATGAATGCGAATTCTAAGAAGAGTCGCGGTGTTCTAATCTACGTTCCCGATTCAATTTTTCTTTTCTGACCCAGATCTCTTCGAGGAATATAACACTGGATGTGTCATACCGGTTAGGTTCGACTATCCTCGAATCGTTGCGAAACTTTTGTAATTGAACTTCGTGCAACGTTTTCTGAAACGAAGTTTCCGGGAAGCGAATTGCCACGAAGCAGTTCAGACTGGGGGCGAAATCTTTTTCGAATGTTTTAAGTCTTTGCGAATTTCGGTCTCACTCGAATAACGCTCTTGTCGTAGAGTTTACCACTGCCAATCGTAAATGTCCCATTTGCGTGTGCATGCGGTAACACATATAGAATGGGGGTCGGTAGAACGCATCTGCATTCACGTCAATTTATGCATGTTCTTTGTACGTATTTCGAATGCAGAATAGAACATGTGTGCGTTGGTTGAGAAAATCGAGGTGTGGCCAACATTTACTGGAAAATCGAACAGCAACCGCTTCTACAATACCCTTCCTAAAATTCAATAGATTCCACTATAGACAAGGGAAATAGGTCAGTCGTGACTTTGTCCACGTTTATTCCACAATATAATAAATATTAATAAACGCCTCTTGCCTTATATGCAATCGAATAATCAAATATTGCGCAAACTTTAAATCATTTGAATTTTCTGTTCATTATTAAAGAATTAAATAGGTATATTTGATTGCAGTTTGCAAATGAGAGAACGTTAAGTTGTAACGAAATCTTTGTATAAATATTTAATTTAATTTTAATTTGAATATCAAATCCCCTCGTGCTTGCATTTCAATTATTAGTTGTTGCTAAATGTAAATCAGACAGCTTTATTTCTGACAAGATGTCAGCACGATGCAAGCAGTATTATCTCCTGTATCGACAAACAGTTAAATATCGACTGCGAACGCGTATCCACCGATGCTATATTTCCATATGATATTTTTTAAGTATGTAGGAAATTGTCCAAATTGACTTGGAAAATTTATTAAGAGGGATAAAAAAGTATCGATCCATGCTCTAAACATTTACAAAAATGCAAACCACTTAAGACTTAGAATTAAAATTCAAATATTGAAATGAAGAGATAGTTTTGTAGTAGAATCAGATTTATTTTTTGATTGATATATGATGATTGTATATCAATAGTGATAACGATAGATAATGAAATAAATAGGATTATTAAGTCATAGCTTTTCGTTGAAGTTCATTCATGTCAGATCATTTTTATAGTAGTACAGAGAGTGCTATGTCAAGTATGAGAGAGACAAGCAGACCTATGAAAAATGTACAATCATAACAAGAAAAGGAATGAAAGGAGTATGTCGTTATTTTGAAATTGCTGACGGTGTTTATTGATAAATTAAGCATTAATTGCTATGACAAACGCCAATAACATTGATTACGTTCACCGTTGACTTTAATCAATTGAGCCAGTTTTGGCTCGTCTCTTCACGAAGTCAAATCTTCCACTTGTTTTCTATCTTCATGTTTTTAATTAACGAGAGAATCCTGTTGGATGCTTATTTACTTCGTTACTGCCATTATATCAAATTGTAACGATTGTGTAAGTGAAGCAAATTCGTGTACGTATACTTTATCCTACTTTTTCATCCGTCCGATACACCCTTGCCGTTTACGTATAATTTACGAAGTATCTTAACGTAACTAGAATGTAATCGTTTAACCACCTTACCGGTTCGTTAAATGATACGTTGTCATTGACGTAACAGAATATAAATCAGACTTTATCTCGTGAACAATAAATCAAAATCGGGGGAACAACGTTGCGATTTACGTCGAAACTCTGATAAGAATGGATATCAGAACACGCAATTTCTCTCCTGCGATTCAGCATATGATTATGTAATTTCACGTATTTATCTTGTATAACGCAAAAATTCTTATGTAAATCGCGTCAGAAGCCAAAGGAAAATTTCACGATTATTATGAATGCCTCATATGATCGATTCTGTTATTAAAATTTTGTACCTGGAATCGATACGTGTTTCGAAACATTAATTAAAGTGCTTAGTAACAATGAATTTATATGAAGAATTATGATTGACGAGACAGGCTTGCTGTGGTGAAACTAACGTTGCCACGGTGTTCGATTCGCTACACCATTGGATTAATAAGACAGTGCGTAACCACGAGACACCTCGTCCGCACGCATTGGGTTTCAACTGGTAATAGAATTATTTTCCATTCCTCTAGGTGGATATTGATTTCTATAGAGTACTCAGTACCGCGTGCAATATTCGTTCGGCGAGTCCCGGGAAACTAAACAGAATGGATAAACATAAAGACGAAGAACTAAAGTAATCATTTTGCATTTCGCTTCTTTTCGATTCAGTGTACGTAGTTCGTCTGCTTTCGTCACGTGGCTGAAGTGTGCCATCGTCTGTCCTCTCTGTCTTCGTGCTTCTCTCTTCCACCGCGTCGATTAGATTGGTGAAATTAAAAGTGCTCTACGATTTTAATGACGCAAAACGTGAAACAGGAGTTTTAAATAGATTTACAGCAGACTCTCCGCTATATGAACACTCATTATGGGAACATTCTGTTACATACTATGAACACCTGTTACCTGAACGTTCCATTACATGTAGTTAAAAGTTATCTTTATACTAATTGTATTTCATTGCTTTAAATATAACTCGAATATTAATCGTTTATTGTTCAATAATTAATTCATATAATGGAGGTGCTACTGTATTTACCAACACCGGTGGAAAATCGCGAGTGTCTTTTTTTAGAGCTCTGATAAGGTGTAATCTATGCTTTAAGAAAGTTGCAAGAAAGTTTAAAATAACTGCTAAGAGACGTTTCGTCAGGCGTGCACTATATCTTTCTCTTACTTAAATCGGCCGAAGTTTTGCCTATTACGAAGGTCTCGGTCTTATCGGTCGGAAGTCGATTTAACTTTCATAAATAGCGTTCACCGGGTTAATTGGTCCATCGCATCCGGTTCGTGTTTTATTCTATCGCAATCATTGCAGAAATTCCGCAAAGTCGTTTTCTCATGACGTCGCTCTCGTTAATTTTAACACGTGACCTCTCGCGGGCTTGTCTCTTTTACGAAACTTCAAACGCGAATCGAGAAAAAAAAGCTTGATAACTTTCAGATACGAACGAAATTTGTTAGGTCTCACGCGGTAGGAGAAATAGTCGACCGTCAGATTTCTTCGAAGAAACGTACCCGGAGATACCGCGAGAGCAACAGAATTATTATAGTCGAAGTCCTGTTCAAGACGCACTCGCAATTAACGGTAATTGTGCACAGCCTAGTGCTCGTTATCGGCAAGTTCGCCGATGCCAAACGCCGTTCTTTATCTAAGTACTTCCATTCGTCACCTCTCTCTCGTTATTACCCGACGAGCGACTCGTTTAAGATTTTTCTTATCCTACGATTGACGCTTGATAGGTTGTTGCATCATGTATCAAGATGATTTATTTACATAATGTAACCGCGTGAGAATCTACGTTGCACATAAGTGTGCCGAGTCGAACGGATCGAGTTTTCGATGGAATGTAGTGATCGGTCGCGTTTCTTTTCAGAAGCACCGATACCGATACGAAAACTAATATCGCGATCGATGCCATGGATCTGGTCAATATCACGTTCCGTTCTCTCGAACTGAGGGAGGCCAGACCGCAGGAAAGTAATTTCTTCGATTTGGAGAAACAAAATGTTGCGATAGAGAGGGACGAAGCTGAGAAACAGTCCAGGAGGGCAAGGCACAGCCTGGGCGAGATCAAATCGTCCAGCAAAGAGGAGACGAAGAAACTGAAGACGATCAATTTGGACGAAGTTTCGTGGCACGATACAGCAGACAATTGTTGGGTCGTGATACACGATTTCGTTTACGACGTGACGGATTTCGTGGAGAGCCATCCTGGTGGATCGGACGTGATCCTGGAATATGCTGGCAGGGACGCGACTTTGCCATTCATCGGCACCGGGCACTCGTCCATGGCCAGAGCGGGTTTGGACAGATATCTGATCGGCGAGCTTCCGCGGGAGGAAAGGATCTTTCGTGTGTCGAATGGCATAAGAATTTCCGAATTTTAAGTTTGTCACGTGACAAATGTGCCTTTCGAGTGACTGTAAATTAGTGTAAAAGATCGATGAGAGCTTTGAAGTGGACCTCGCAGGTGTTATCTATTCTCGAATGGAAAGTGTGCAAAGTTTATGGTCGAGAATCTTTAGATTCATAACTTATATAACGAGGATTACGAAATCGAGGCTTCTTTATAATAGTTCAATCTAATCACGGTACGAACCGTGTTATCCTGCCGTCCCTTTACACAACATGAATATATTAACTGTATTACAAGTATTTTTTATGATAGTTTAATGGTAGTAGTTCTGGGATAGTTTTGCATAAACAAAAAGAGGAAAGTTTTATAAATCCTAATATTTCTGTGACAAGAGTACCACAATTATTCTATTGATTTTATGCATGCATAGGGAAATCGAGTGTGCAAAGTATAAAATTATATGGAATTTCAAAAGACGTGTAAAATGCATTGTTAATGATTTATGCATGAAAGCGACAGTCTAGCCATAATAACTGTTTCATATTTTATACGCTGACTGTTATACTCCAAACTCGATTAATATAATCGAAGCATCAATTTGTACTCTATAGACTGGTTGACGACAAGATATCGTGTATTATGTATCTCACGTTTTAATGAGACAAAAATAGGAAACCCCGATAACATTGTAAGAGAATTTACTTCTAAAAGTGGTCGTCTTATCTTAAACTGTAAATCGAAACATGTGTGGAATATAAATTACATTGAAGATGCGAAAGGAACACTCGTAATTTGATACCTTGCAAAGTTTGCTAAAAAACATCACGTCTTTGCTGACTCTAGAATTGGGACTGTTCGAGATTCGTTCCACCAACGGTACATGTAATTCCTGACGTTCCATACCCCATCCAAATAATAATAATAATGAATTAACTATTAATTATTATCATTCCACCGACGAAGCTGACCCAATACCGACCAGCGCATTTAATTAATAAAACAAGCGGCGTACCACCGAGCGGGAACGCACGATTCATGCTTAATTATCTTTAGCAATGATCTTTATTTGCGATACTGCGGACGATAACGAGGGCTTTTAATTGTCCTAACTCTGTCCTCCTCTGGTTCGTTCCTTCCTCCTCGATCTGCTTCATTCGATGCGGAATCTCTTGCTCGCTGGAACAATGGCACGCGCGGACAGTCGCGTGCCGCGAGGGAAAATTAATTTTAATAAGGCCCGCGTAATAATGCATATTCCCGGTATATACATAAATTCATATCATAGTTCGTTCGTGCACTAATGAAAACGTTAGCCCTCTGAATATATCAGAGATTATGCGAAACACCGTCCACAAATTTCTAGGAATACATTAATCCTTTATTGTAGCAGAATTAATTTTCTTGAAACGAGAAATATTCCCGAATTATTACTTTTTTTTCTTTACGTATATTACAGGGCTTTTTAGTTACAAAAACTACTGTGTTTGATTACTTCAATCAAAAGTTTCTTGCCATAATAAGTTAGAGCGGAGCAGGTGAACGTGTAACGGCTCAAGGAGCGTCGGCCTAATTGTATGCACGTAGCTCGCGGTAAAACCGCGGCGTCTGGGTTATTGCGAGAGATGTTTCATTCTTTAATTAGACGCCGTGAAATTAGATACGTTCGGCGTGTCTGCGGTCGCTGGTCCGAGGTATTTAAGTCACGCCTTCGTGATCATTTTACATTACGTACATCGTTCCATGTGCGGATCTCTCTTTGCATTCGTTTCGTAACGGCGACAAGTTGCAATGGCTTTCCTTGTCGTTTAAGTTTTAACGTGAACGTTTAAGACTTATTGGAACAAGTAAGAAGAGGGAATATATATATAAAAAAAAATATAGTTGTAAAGGTTGAGAGTCAAAGAATTGAAGGAGCTGATTAAGTAGAATTGATGGAGCAGAAGATGAAGACACTTTATGTCATAACTATGAAACCAATGAAAGATTTCCATTGTTCTATACATATTACTGAATATGTGGCACATTGAAATTTTATATTTATATGTAAGATAATTTTCATTGGCTTTATAGTTACAACGTAACTTAGTTACGTTTTACACCGGTACATTATATTTTTTGGTCCTCTAAACATTCATAATATACACAACATACAATACATAGCGGTTCAGTTTTTGTTTTATTTCCATATTTTAATACGATATTACCGACAGAATGGTATCGTGAGTAATTAGTTTCTCGTTACCCACGAACTGCTGCATTGTTAAACCTGTTTCTCCTGTATGTTTCGTTTTATCTCGGTTATTTATAATGCTTAGATAGAAGACAGGTCAACATTCACGTACGGAAATAAATAAGATCACACCGTGATGAGAAAAATATTTTCCATGATGAAATAACGTTGCTACGAGATTATCACTGTAGATACTTATTTTCCTCTTACTTTTTTAATTTACAACGCTAATCGTTTAAGTAATTCTGTATGGAAACATTTATCCATCGTGACGTTTCACTTCCGTTCACATCCCCTTGCAGTTGCGAGGTTCTTAACAAAACTGACCCTTGTTAGAAAAAAGTTAGATTATGATTTACGATGTATAAGCTCTTTAATTACATAAATTGTGAAAATGTGTGTGTAAATGATAAAAAAATGAAATCTATAGAAGACAAGAATTTACGATACCGGATTACTTTTTTCTCAAAAAGGACAAAATTTAGAAGCACCGTTTGTTAAGAATCCCTGCAATCGTTTTCACCTTTAGTTACACATTAACATTGAAAACGCACTGTTAAATACAACTGCACTCTAGATCGTTCCGTTCGTTTCCGTCGAATCAGAACGTACTGCTTCGACGATAAGATTTCCTCTGTGCAACATTGAGACAAAGATAGGCGATTCGGTAAAAAATGAAATGAACTTTCTGATGTACGAACAAAACAGGAAACTAGATAAAGTAATTTAACAGAACGTCGATACAGGCGTTGAGAAAACACTTGGATCGATGGAAAAACCATTTGATCTCGATTTCACACACGCTGATACATTGTGATCATATTAAATGATCGAAATGATCGACACGAATCAACAGCGTTCGTGCGTCGAAAGAACCTATGCATTTTTAGAAGTTTCGCGCTCTTTGGCAGTCCTGGGTTCCATCCCTCTGCGGTTATTTTTCGGTGGAAGCCACGATGCTTCGTTAAGGTATCGTCGCTTACATTTATTATCGCTCGAACGATAGACTGTGTGCGCTTAGACGTACATACATACATGTAACATCTGAAATTATGTGTTGTTCCTGCCACGTCGCGAGTCAGTGACTGACGCACAGAACAAATTAACCCTATACATATAATGTTCGTAAAGTATTTCATTCCGTACGATCGCGTCGTAATTAATCAATGCTAATAAGAGCAACTGTTCTTCACGCCTCCCCCTCTGGTCTCGTTAGTGTCTCTCCAGTCTGAAGAGTATCGAGAACAGAGGGAAACAACTCGAAAGAGGATTAAACTGTGCATTCGCAGTTGATACAGTAGCACGCGGAAATTTGAACGTTTACTAGGTTTGGAGAAGCACCACCAATTCTAATCTACACGATCGTTTCTCTTTTTTACAACATCAAACTTTCCGTCTCGTTTCGACTCGTCCGGGGACAGTCGCTTACGTTTGCCACGAATTTGAACGTATTAAGGCATGTATCCGCATCCGTTTATATCATTATGAACGGGCAAACGTCGCTTCATTGGATACCAAACGTTCGTGAGCAGAGTACGAATGGTACGTATGCAACGATGAGATAATGCGAGATATAACACGGGCGGATACTCACCTTCATAATGGCGCATACGTTTATTATTTTGCAACATAATTTCCATAACTACAGAACAGTGTTATTATAATTTCGTTATCATTTCGCCGGTATTAATTTTACAGCGCGATTATTCGCGATTCGATGCCGGAAGCGTGAATTATTAATCCCCGGAGCGGTGCGCGAATTCGAGACGCGTGAAAAACACATTATCTCCTCCGTGCACGTGTAAGTGTATACTCGCTGTTTGCGGGTCATAATCGATCGGGTAAACAGCGTGGGTTGTTAGGAATATTGGAAGTATTATTCGGTGGAGTTTCCGAATCGGAACCTACATCGTCCTACGTACGGAGGTTCACGAGTCGTTATCAACTTACGTGTAAATTTTGTAGCAAACCGATTGTGCAGTAGATCTGCTAAATGCGTGTATCCTTCTACAGTGTTCGTGATTTTAATTGAAAGTCGAATTTTCGTAAAAACAAACGAGATCAGAGACTTTGTTTTATACATTCTCGATATTCTTGAGATTGCCTTTAAAGCACGTTTAACACCCGACGTAAAACGCTAATTGTGGAAACCTGGGATCGCGCAACAGCTCGAGTATACATTAGATCCTCGCGAAACGATGACAGTTATTATTATGTACAATAATGAGTAACGTTTTCATGAGTCCTCAACGAATATCGTGCGTCTGCCTCGGTTCCATTAAACGTACTTACGATCCACGGGAATGCCGTCATTAAACTTTTTAACGAGCTCCGGAAAATTATCGCGATCTTCTGAAACGAATTGAAAACGGCTACAGAAACCTCAGGGTAGAAATACTGAGTCGAGTTTTGCTTCAGAATAAATCGAGACCGTCCGCTAAAAAATAATTTCTCTAAAGAGAATTTGAGTATTGAAAGTTCGAAGCATATTAATATTTGACGGCTGCATCCCGTACCATGTCAGATATTTACAATTATGGTCGTATCGGGGCAGAACATGGAAGTGTTTAAGACTCGACAGACACAAGAGTATCCTTGGCTCCTTAAATTACGCTGACTCGGAATCAGAACGCCGTTCTACACAGGTGCCATTAAACGTGTTCGCGACACCTTCTCTCGTATTTCCTTTTTCTCACTTTACAACAGCGATTTGTTACATGCTACTTTCTGCTTTGTATGTCGTTAGGACAGGCTAAAATTCGTAATTAAACGAATACTAAATATTACTTAATTACTGTGTCTTCCTATCCGTCTAATTACAGCACGTTGAGTGGCTCGATCAATCTGTTCGTTATTTATCATTAACTCACCACGATTAAATAACGAAGACAATTAGTAGTGACGACGAGTCTCGTGTCGTTAAACGCGTCGAAGCAATCCGCGCAGAACAAATTGACACCTCGATCTTTTTAACTGATATTCCTACGTACAGTCAGGGTCGAATGTACGTTTGCAAAAGCAAAATTCATTGAATATTTATGCAATTTTCTTTCGTAAATTACACGTAATTATGTTTTGTATGTGATTTCACGTACCCTTATATCTTAAGCTTTTGAGACACTTAGTGGACACATTTAATGGATGAATCTCATGCCTCGCTTCGCAATGTATAGCTGTAGTTGTCAGACACAGAAAAGGTCCTATGCAATTTCCTCCACACTCCACTCGTTAAGAAATATTTCATGATGGACGAAATGATTAATCGATTACTCTTGAAGTATTCGACGTAGAAAAAAATTGTATGCGACAATGCATTCAATTAATAAACTTAAGAGTAAAACTAAAATAAAATTTTCGCTTCGAATTGCGCCTGGGCAATTAACATCCTTGCCACTAATCAGTGTGTCAACATTTATCAACGCGCTCATCGACGATGTGCTTGAATTTAGTATGGCGTACGATTAACATTTACTTCGACGACATTTGTTTCACTATCTTAAGCACGCGGAATCGTGTTTCAAATTTTACGATTACGTAACGATTTTACACTTACACGTATTATATATACAACAATAAAGAACGAAGTGTCTCTCTACTAGCTATAGAAATTTATAATCTCTGGTATTTCTTTGCTTGTTAAACACACACATAGTACATCCTTAACTCGATGCGACAGTTAATTTACGATATATTCGTAGACGTGTTAAATGTTCCATTGAAAGAAACGTAATTTACGAAAAGATGAAAGTTATACGCTCTTCGATGAAGCGAAGAAGAAGCGTTTCCAAGAAATATTAGAAATCTTTGGAAAATTACCTAAACGATCTTTTATATTAGTTTTGTAGAACACAGTAGAACACAGTATTTGATTTGATCAAAGTATACCCGAAAAGATTTCATTGAATCGCGATGAACATGTAAATCCGCTCTCTCAGAGCTCGTTCTTAAAATATGTGTCATTAACGCGTAAAGATTTAAAAGTATCGCGATTACGAAGATTGAGATGAATCCAGCATCAGGCTTGCTCTTCTATTCCAAAGTCTATTTAAAAGCGATCTGTTCTAAATACTGAACGCGAACTTAAGAACTCATTTGGATAAACAATTCGACGCGACGCGTCGATCGATGCGGAAAATCGTGTCTGCGTTACGTTTCTGTACAAATCTTGATACGCGGAAATCAAGATACGTGTATTATGTACAGACATAAAAATGGTAGAAAAAATAGAACCTCTATCATCACTGAACAGCAGTAGAAAACCAAAAGATTAAAACGCTACCAGTCTGCAAAATTAGGCCTGCGCCAGATCATTATACGTATTCAGAACCCACTGCGTCATCCTTTTTTTTTTTAGTTTCTAATTAAATCTATACTTCTTAGGTACATTTCGTTTCTACGTACGTAAATAGTCTCAAAATCATAAAAAAAAATACATAAGAAAAATTAGAACCAGTGAAACGTGTTTGTTTTTATGTTTCGTTAGGCGTACAGAGAACCTGGTCCAGCCAGGGAGGATGAAGGCAATGCGAAATATCCATTTTACGGCTTGCTCAAGCAAACTGAAATGAAACGTTGAGAATGCGTCTTGCTTATATTAGATCCGTTCTGATCTAATAAAAATCAAATTACGTAGTTCTGAAGCTGTACGTTATTACTAGACTGCGGATTATGTAAATTAAAGCTCTCACGATGTCAATTTGAAAAACGAAATTTATCTCGAGATTTCTTCTTACCCTCCGAAAATAATAATGTGTACTTAGTACTTGTAATTCATTTTCTTACACATTACATAAATTCCAGATGTCTGTTTCATATCGAATTTTTCAGCAAATGCATGAAATCTGCAGTCTAGTAATTACTTACGATTCGCGAGTAACAAATCGAGTCATTCGTTACACTGAGCCCAGGAATTATCCCGTTGAATAAAAATAACGTTCGAACGACAGAACAGTTCGTGACAGTATATCTCTGCTCGAAGAAAGGATTCATGCGAGCAACGTCGAACTTCGAATGTCCACCGGGATATTCATTTGAAGAGAGGCTCGAAATAAGAATTCCGAAGGAACTGATTTCATCAAAAGAGGGTCACGATTCGCGAGGAACGTCGAAAGTTACCCGCGTGTTTTTAGCATTTTCATCCGCTCGGAAAACGTCGAAGTCTTCGCGGTCACGCGAAACTTTCCCTCTGGCCCGAAGTACGCAGCCAGGGCCGGGTGGATCGAACGTGCTCGGAAAACTTGGACGAAACCTCCGACGACTTTTGCGCGTCAGACAATTTCCAAAGTAGCTACCGAGCTATCGTAGCCCTGAAAAAAAATTTTCCTCGAACTTTCGAAATCCTTACCAGTGAATCGTCGTGCAATTCGTTTTTTCTCTCCGTGGGAAAGTTACACTTAATTATCGGTTCGTCCGTAAAGTTTCGCCCTCCTAATTGTGCTCCCGAGGAGGAGGAAAGTTTCGTGGGAGAGGGAGTGGGACGAGTGCTGAGAGGAAGGGACGAAAATCGATTACGTTATATCAAAGTCGCGGAAGATTTGTCGCGTGGAACTGTCGTCGGGCTTCATTGCGTCCACAATGAGATTTCTTCTTCCCGAACGGTCATGGAAAGGCTCTCACGACGTCCTCTCAAGTATGACGATTTACTTCGGAAAAATCCACGGAATTCTCCCTCTCCGTCCACCTTCTGTTTCGTTCCCCTTAGATTCCTCTTTACATCAGGCTGCATCCGGCGTTTTCAAACGCGGACAGCAGTGCAGTCGTTTCCATACAGAACGCACCGTCGTCGTACATTGTGGCGATTCTCTGCTGCTGAACACGGCTAGCGCTTTGTGATCTGAAATATCACATAGTAAAAAGATAATTCTCAACCGAGAATGAAACTGTTTAATTACAGTTTCATTAACAAACTTTAGAGATGTTCTCAATGTACAAGAATTCAATTTGATGAAATACTTAAGAATTTATTGTATTACAGCAACAATATTCGACGAGTTTGTCCGGATTAATAGATAAGTACAAGGAGATGCAGAATTTTATCAGTAGTTTTCAGAATGTCGGTTAGCGTGAAAGATAATTGAATAAGTTTCGAACCGAGAGGTACGAACTGAAGGAGATAGTATTATACTATTATAACTTGCAACCCGTGTTGATAGTTTAACTTCAGATTAACCTGTTACAACGCTACGATTTAGTTATTTTTCAACTTTTTCGATAGAAGAAGTTGTAGGATTAATAAGGAATGAAAAACGAAATGTGCTATTTTTCAATTAGTTCATGGAAAAACTGACCTGGGAGGCATGGAGTCACGCGTTCTTTGATGCATCCTGACTTGCTGCTCCCTGGACGCTTGCTGATTCGAGAGGTAATTATTATCGCGTAAGACGTCTCCTTGGTGATTATGACGATAATGACCAGCGCTCGGCCTCTCGCTGCTTTGAGACAGCGACAACTGTGCCAGATGCTCTCGCAGCTCTGGTTGACTGGCCAGCATCTCGCGACGTGTTTGCACATTCAACATCGCGGGCGTAGTCGTGCTAGTGTCTGACCACGGCGGAGGTGGCGTGTGCGATCGAGTAATCATTGCGTACTTGGCGTGACACAGATATTCCTCGTAAGTCGGCGGTAAACCAGACTGAAGTCAAACAATGAACAAGTAAAACAAACGTTACTAAGGAATTTCCAATTCTTAACATTTCAAATAAAATCTTTTAGAAGGTGGAGTATAAGTTTGGTCCCTGTTTTTCTTTTATATCTGAAATTAATGGTATCAGGTATTTGTCGCTCATTCATTTTCTGATCCGAAATATTATCAATTTCTTTTAGAGTATCAATACATCTTCTGTTGCGATATTAATCTTTGTACGTTTCAAATTTCCCACTTGTTTATCGATAGGTATTATTCTCGTTAACGAGAATTTGGCATTAATTGTTTTACTCTGTTGCGGTAGATATCCATCTTGTGGGGTGGGTGGAGATTGCATCGAAACACAGGGCGGAACGCAATCGAGAACAGTGCTATAATACGTTTATAGCTCGGTGAAAATCGAAGAACTTTCGTTAGATTCCAGTTACGCGTAGTCATTGGTAGAAGTTCGAAATCTGTTTGCAACGAAGCTCTGAGAACTTAATTAATTTTCATTAACGAGAAAAGCTCAGGGAACTGCGTTCTCTGAAACGCCAATAAGATTTATGAACACACTTTCTTCGTATTATTTATTATCTTCTTAAAAGCTGATCGAATACGTGTCGTTCTTCGTTCGGAAAAATTAAAAAATCAAGGCCAGTCATTTCAAAACATTGTCGAGTAGACAGAGGATGTTAAACTCAATCTGATCAGATAGAGCGGCGTGACAGCCGATAAAACTCAGCGAAACTCCAAGTGTCCCGGTGTCGTTACCGGGACTTTGAAGTGGGTCAACACCGGTGGTGGTGGAACTATGCTTTTCGCAATGGGTGACCGCGAGACGTGGTACGAAAATTTATATGACGCCCGGGCGCCGCCGAAACTCTATTTCAAAATCCGCATGGCTCCCGAGCAAGAAGTATCTCTTCAAGGGATCGTATTTTCCGTTGTTTTCGACCCTCGTTGTACCATTTTGTTTTAAATCAAGGATATTCCCGACGGTCACAAGAGTCTCCCTTGCTCTTTTCTCATGTTAACTACGTCTAGGGATCCGAGGAGGTTGATTATTCGCATAATCGAATATTCAGCAAACGGGGACTCGAGTCAACGGTTTTGAATATTCAAGCATTAATTTTCCTGTCACCGGATTATACATACATACGTATATATACCCCGTGCGGAAATACTCCCGCGCCTTTCTCATCAAAAATTCAAGTTCGATAAAATGCCCGAAACGATAAACCGCAGCCTCGTTCTACTTTTGAATATTCTTCGTCCATAGATGACTGCGAAAGTGGAATGGATCGGTGGATCATATAAAAGGAAAAAATTTTCTCGTAATTATCGAAGAATTAGAACGGTTTCGCCGTCATCGATTGTACGGATTGCACCGGTCTGCGGTTGTTTTAATTCCGTATATCGGAATCCTGGATGTGTAAAAAATTTTTCCTCTGAATCCTTGACCTTCTCGCCACAATTGAACGTCGCGATCAATTTCAAATATTGAAATTTCGACAATCACACGAACTTCATTGACGGTCAATTAAACGTAACGATTTCTTTTGAAGTGAAATTTCCAGCTTCTCTCTACTGCTGCCATTAATTAGTAGCCGAAGCAATTAGTCAGGTCGTGTACAGGTAACCCACGCTGCCGTGGCACGCGAATAGTTGACCGGGATCCGGTGTCTAACAAGTCGTACGTATCTACGAGCGATGGACGTTTGCTACCACGGGATTGCTATCCTATCTGCTGTCTGACTAGGACGGACCATTACTACTTAGCAGTTAAATCCTCATCGTTGCTCTCGGAACGGTGAATGGCTTCTAATTTCGCCACGCTGTCGATACAATACCTCTCCCTGGTACACGTTAAGTACCAATCAATCTGGTATAACCTGCCGCCATGAACTTTTATAGTGGCACAAGCGGTATTGTGATTTTTTATGGAGAACCGAACGCTATTCGACAGAGTAATAAAATTTTATTATAGGCGTATAAAGAGTGAGCCAGTAGCGTAATCGAGGTCAGTTGACTAATATACTGCCAGATGTGTTTGTCCGAGTTGATCGGAAAGGTTACCTATCGTTTTCGTCTGTTATCCCGTTTGAAAATCTATTTCCGACGGAAAGGCTAGGTAATAATAATCCTTTACCTGCCACGTTTTCGAAATGGCCACGTCGTAGGTGGGCGGCGGCGATACCATCGAAGGAATGGCATAAACCGGTTGCGATCTACTTTGAGTGTTTAATTGACTATTTCCGGTTTCGTTAGCGCTCGCGTTCGGCGTGTCTGGTATGGTCGCGTACAACGCCTCCGGTATAACGTTCTCACGAATACCACCACCAACTATGCACGAGCCGCAATCTGTAACAGAAGTCCAGTGCAAATTAAATTACAAAACAATTTGATCTTCATCTAATTGAATTGCGGCTAAAATTAATTACGGAACTTAGGAACGGTTCAGAATGTTCAACCGTAATATACTGCGTCCATCATAACGACTGAATAAGATAGTCGGGTTGATTCCCAGATATTTAGTACCAAATAGAATCAAGGAGAAATTCCACATATAAAAATTCATATTACCGTTAAATGAATGCATCCTTGCATTCTAATAAATTAGAATCTATTTCTATCATACTTTATAACAAAATCAGTAATCAATGGATAATTTTAAAAGATATTTCTTATTAATTCACTCTGTACAAGCAAGAATATGTATCATATGCAGGAAATAATAATTTTCATAAGAATAGCAGATTATAAATGATTAAGTTCAAATTTTGGCTGACCTATGTAAGTATAATGGGACTCCGCTCTGTCGGCGCTTCTCGTTCGTCTCGAGTGATTTAATCGCTTCTCGTGTTTGCTGCTCTTGCTGACCGGTCTTGCTTGTTCGGCCACCGAACTACTGCTCCCAGTTTCGAAACTTCTGCTCTTGGACGCGCGAGCATCCTCCTGTAAATGCTGTTTCTTAGCCGGTCGGCCATCCGGCTTGGCGCTCTTCGATTTCGGTATCCTACTCGTCAACTTCCTCGAAGACAACGCGCCGTTTCGCAATTTTGGCAAGTCGACCACGACTCCGCAGCCGCAGAGCGCGTTTTCATTAGGCATTCTGCGAAACAGTTAAAATTCACTTAGAAAATTAATTATAAATGATATTAATGTGGTTGGGATGAATATCTCTTGATCAGGTGTACACAAGATTTAATAATCAGATGTACATATAACCGTGCCTGAAGTGAAACTTTTAATTACATTTAGAATTTTAATTATGATTATAAAATACGAATTGGCACGGTGCGTATGATTCGAAATAGAAGATCGTCGATTGTACGACCTCGCCTACGTATCATCTCGCATTCAACTTTAATTTAGTTATCATTTCATTTATTAATACGTGAACAATAATCGTGGAATATAACGGAAGCATGCATCTTGTGTACAGGTAACCCACGCTGCCGTGGCACGCGAATAGTTGACCGGGATCCGGTGTCTAACAAGTCGTACGTATCTACGAGCGATGGACGTTTGCTACCACGGGATTGCTATCCTATCTGCTGTCTGACTAGGACGGACCATTACTACTTAGCAGTTAAATCCTCATCGTTGCTCTCGGAACGGTGAATGGCTTCTAATTTCGCCACGCTGTCGATACAATACCTCTCCCTGGTACACGTTAAGTACCAATCAATCTGGTATAACCTGCCGCCATGAACTTTTATAGTGGCACAAGCGGTATTGTGATTTTTTATGGAGAACCGAACGCTATTCGACAGAGTAATAAAATTTTATTATAGGCGTATAAAGAGTGAGCCAGTAGCGTAATCGAGGTCAGTTGACTAATATACTGCCAGATGTGTTTGTCCGAGTTGATCGGAAAGGTTACCTATCGTTTTCGTCTGTTATCCCGTTTGAAAATCTATTTCCGACGGAAAGGCTAGGTAATAATAATCCTTTACCTGCCACGTTTTCGAAATGGCCACGTCGTAGGTGGGCGGCGGCGATACCATCGAAGGAATGGCATAAACCGGTTGCGATCTACTTTGAGTGTTTAATTGACTATTTCCGGTTTCGTTAGCGCTCGCGTTCGGCGTGTCTGGTATGGTCGCGTACAACGCCTCCGGTATAACGTTCTCACGAATACCACCACCAACTATGCACGAGCCGCAATCTGTAACAGAAGTCCAGTGCAAATTAAATTACAAAACAATTTGATCTTCATCTAATTGAATTGCGGCTAAAATTAATTACGGAACTTAGGAACGGTTCAGAATGTTCAACCGTAATATACTGCGTCCATCATAACGACTGAATAAGATAGTCGGGTTGATTCCCAGATATTTAGTACCAAATAGAATCAAGGAGAAATTCCACATATAAAAATTCATATTACCGTTAAATGAATGCATCCTTGCATTCTAATAAATTAGAATCTATTTCTATCATACTTTATAACAAAATCAGTAATCAATGGATAATTTTAAAAGATATTTCTTATTAATTCACTCTGTACAAGCAAGAATACGTATGATATGCAGGAAATAATAATTTTCATAAGAATAGCAGATTATAAATGATTAAGTTCAAATTTTGGCTGACCTATGTAAGTATAATGGGACTCCGCTCTGTCGGCGCTTCTCGTTCGTCTCGAGTGATTTAATCGCTTCTCGTGTTTGCTGCTCTTGCTGACCGGTCTTGCTTGTTCGGCCACCGAACTACTGCTCCCAGTTTCGAAACTTCTGCTCTTGGACGCGCGAGCATCCTCCTGTAAATGCTGTTTCTTAGCCGGTCGGCCATCCGGCTTGGCGCTCTTCGATTTCGGTATCCTACTCGTCAACTTCCTCGAAGACAACGCGCCGTTTCGCAATTTTGGCAAGTCGACCACGACTCCGCAGCCGCAGAGCGCGTTTTCATTAGGCATTCTGCGAAACAGTTAAAATTCACTTAGAAAATTAATTATAAATGATATTAATGTGGTTGGGATGAATATCTCTTGATCAGGTGTACACAAGATTTAATAATCAGATGTACGTATGACCGTGCCTGAAGTGAAACTTTTAATTACATTTAGAATTTTAATTATGATTATAAAATACGAATTGGCACGGTGCGTATGATTCGAAATAGAAGATCGTCGATTGTACGACCTCGCCTACGTATCATCTCGCATTCAACTTTAATTTAGTTATCATTTCATTTATTAATACGTGAACAATAATCGTGGAATATAACGGAAGCATGCATCTAAAATTGAAGCATGCCTGCACCAAAATCTCTGGCGGAGAAATTATCGGCTGTGTGTACGAAACCACGAACGATTTGAGGGAATCGAGCCAAACTAAATGGTATTTCCTCTAAAACGGTGATATCGTTCAACGAATGCCTGACATCCACACTCTCGGCGGGTAACGCCGCTCGATAATCGGTCGAAATAACATTTCGTGGAATCGCGTTATCCGAGCCTACGCAGCACGCTGGGTACCATTAATATCGTAACCCGTAATGGCCACTAATTAGGATCACATTGTAAACCATTTGGTCGGCCGACGCCAGATGTTCGACGTTCTATTAGGCAAACTCATTAGGTTCTAGAGCGTCTTGCCTTTGATGTAATTATTCGACTGGTAGACGATGGTAAACCACTAAACGATATTGCAGAATTATTTCTCGTCTGTAATAACCTTTTATAAAAAAGCAAGTTGAATACACGATCGTTTATACATGTGTACAATGGGAAGCAAACAATTTTTTCGAGAATACAATTACAATTGTGCAGACCTGCAGTTACAATAGGTTGGTACTCGGTGAAAATAAAAATGTTTTTTCCAGGAATCACTTTTATACACATTTGCATTTACTGCGATTATTCGAGAATGGTTGTCTATATTCTGTCACTTTCAATCACATATTCATGCTACGCTCAGATCGAAATCCCATCACAAAACTTCCCGGATTTCAATTTTTGTTTTCGGTTTTCCATTCAGTTTCACATTTACATCGATCAATATGTTTCGATTCATTCATCCTACATTCACAGGCTGAAAATTCTCGACTTTTTCCATATTATATATAATCTTGAAGTATAAGCATTAATATACGAACGAATCAATCCTATTTGGAATCATATTTCTGTGACATATCGCAGAGGCACGAATACGATTCTCGAGATTTTCTCGAAAGTCGAAATGAACTCCTTGTGTTACAAGCTCGATCCGATTCGAAGTTTCGCGGATGAAGCGGTGAATCAATAATATAATCAATCTCCATGGAACGTTAGTTATTCGATTTGTGGAAGCGAGCCTCATTAAGCTCACGAGACAGCTTCGCGACGTTTTACTTGCACAGCACGGGCTTTAATGCAAAGAGACTTAAAGCCATGATTTAATCGTAATCTGAAGGAAAAAGGAGTCGTTTTTATGTCTGTCCTCGGCTTTGTCAGCGTCTCGCCTCAGAACAATGGTTCCGATCCTCCTACAATGCTTTGGGCCTTCGACCCCTTTTCCGTTAATTTGTCTTTGAACGACAGACCCGGCGACGCGCCAGTGTCGAAGCGTTATCACGAGTTCTCCAGGCCTCTGTGAAATATTCTGAAGTTCTAAACGAAACGAGTCGGCCAGAAATTTCGCGAGCCCTTTGTCGTTCCCACCCCGACCTCCAACAGTCCAGAACGACATTAGATACTCTGAAAATTCTGAGAGGGAAGCCTTTCTCCTCCTCCTTTTTGCCGTGAATTTCGCTTCGTTTCTGGTTTTGAGCAGCCACTCGTCAGGGGAAAATGTCTCGATTGCCACGCGACATCGATAACATCCCTCGCTCTTGGCAAGATCCAATTTTCAGGTCGTCGTCGATTCGAAAGGGATACACCTCTTTTCCGGATCCTTGTACACGTTTTTTGTCCCCTTCCCCCGAAAGGTTCGAAGGGTGCTACAACAGGCCACCCTGGCTTCAGGCCTCTTGTCTCTTGCCCCATTTCCCCGGAGAAATGGATTTCAAACTTGTTTACGGAATACATTCTCGGCTTTCAAAGTTATTTAACTGACAAATTTTTACTAAGTTATTACTATATCGCCTTTTCATTTTTTTCCAATACTTTATGCCAATTTTTCATCCAGGATTCTTCTCAATAGAAATTTTATATTAAATATCGACTGGTTTTACTATATTAACGAAGTTTCACGAAGGCGAGCTAGTTCCCAGTTGAACTTTGTTGTATACTCTGTTTTATATTCATAACTCGCTTAAAAATTTTGAGTTAATTTCAGATAATGAAGAAATATTGCTTTAAATATGATTAAACTAGATCAAAATATAAACTCGTCGATCGTACAATTACTCCAAAAGGTTATTGTTCTTTAAATTATGAACGTACCAATGAAAAATAATTTTAATTCGGTGCATACGTTCCTTATGTGNCTATAGAAATACAAAATAAATAGATTATAAATGTGAAACAGAGTGCATTCTTCTAGTTAATCTATTGAGCGTATTTTTAACAATGTTCTTTTTGTATTATGTTCAGTTTTAATTAGCGCGTCTAATTAATAACGTTATACCCGGGGCTGGTATAAATTCAACTTTCTGCGCGCTGGCTGTAGCTAACACGATCGCAATTAGCTTGTATTGTCAATCGCATCATGTTTCGCGGCTACGAAACATTGGGAAATTAGGATTACATAATTGGAATCGCGTGCGGTACTACATATAATATTGCAGTGCGAAATTGCAGCAGCAGTTAAATTGCAGTATTTTGTTTCGACTAAAATGAAGTAATCACGGTTGAAAAGAAAATTTAATCAGTATTTGACCAACTTATTTCATTAAATATGCTGAAGGCTCTCTCTTGGAAGCAATTTCATCGACGAATATGAAAAATAAATCTGCTGTAAAAACAGAGAAAAATACGTCAAAGACCGAGCGCCTATGCTTATGTTAAAACGAAGTAGTCGAAATATCCGTCTGTTTCAATTAAAAGTAATTCTCTCCAGGATGGAATCGGTGAAATGTCTATGTCATGATATAATCTCGGGTGGACCCGTCATATCGAAGATGAGGAGAAATCGTTGCACGGAAATTAAATTACGTGGACCAGCGTTGCTGGACGAGCTCCCAGGGGCCCGTTAGTGAAGTTTCGAGAACGAATAGCGTACATACAACTGTTATTATTCAGAACCCATTATTATTCATCCGCACTTCGCTACGCTTCCGGTTGCCACTGTTTCCGCCGTTCCCCGTAAATTAACTAACGACCAGACTAAAACCAATTTATTTGTTTTTGATCGTTCCGGAAAAAGACATGAACGCTCCTTAAAGTGGTTCTATTAAAATTCTGAAGTCGAGTTAATTTTATTTCACGATACTTGAACAAATATAATAATTTCAATGGACAATGAATATCCTTTAAAGCAGTAATTGTTAACATTCTCTGAAGAAGCTTCAGTAATTCTGTCACGTACATGTTTTTCTTCATATCGTTTCACTTTCTTAGTTGTAAGAAGTTAATTGCTGTTACGTCGGAGTTTAATCATACGAATAATTTCTAAACGCCAATGAGAGATTAGTACGTAGCTGTCGAGCAGCTCGGGAAGCAGTTATACGTCAAAAGACTAATTAATTATCGAGCTTAATGACTTAGTTCTATCGTCGACGCTTTCGTGAAGGAATTGTTAGGATTGAGGATCGAACGACACGGTTGATTAGAGTTCGTAAGATAAGCAATTTATTAATGTGATAAACAGCGCTCTCGCCCTTCGGAGCCAAGAAGCGAAGAAGCGTCGCAGGGATCGCTTCCGGTGCGACTACGGCAGGCCTCGAAGCATCGAAACTCCGTGTAATTACGCGACTAACTAATGGTCGAATTTAATTAGGAACCGCCTCAGGTCTGTTCGTTATATCGTCTCAGGTGAACTAGCGATCTCTCGCTCTCCATGCTCTACAATTTCTTTTTCCTCTCGTGCTTCGTTCCATTCGCCGGCTTTATTAATCCGAAAATCGACGCACCCGTTATTTGGTTGAGGTTTTGCATAAGTTAATTGGCAACGGGATTACGTATCCTGTGGCAACAGATGTATCGAAAGGAATAGAAGATCGAAGGATATCAACGGTGATGCGAACGAACGTGAGGAAGAGAAAAAACCGGGGCGTAATTCAAAGTGCATAGGATGCATGAAATTGAAGAATCAGTTCTAGGAAATCTTAAATTCCCTGTCTTCATTTTTATTTCACTAAATGAGATATACTGTTTATGATATATTATTTCCTCTTCCCATAAGTAATTTCCATTTCATTCAAATGGTAACGGCAAATAAATTGGTTTGAGAAGTAGATAATGGAAGTTGGGAACTGTCGAATCGGAGTAGAATCGAATACTGGCATTGTTGGACCGAGCTATAGTAGAACAAAGGATGATTAAGCAAACAGTGCTGAATGCGAACGGTTGGCCGGGTAGAAAGTGACCGTACTTAAGACAAATAATTTCAGTTCCCTACTGCGGAGTTCTTTCATTTGATTTTTGAGTTTTACGCCGTCGGCATCGGAATTTTCGGGTCAGTTAAATTTTAGGTCACCGGTTATTCACGTTTCGGGTCACCTGCTCTTTCCCTTCTTATTTCACCGCGTTTAATATCCCCTACATTTTTACCGTCGATCGTAACGGATGATGTTCATTAATCAAACGTTTCTTGCTCGCGTGAGAATGACTTTCTATCATATTTTATGTACGATCGAACACTTACGTCCCATTAAGTAGATTCGAAGCAGTTTTTCTTCTTGAAGACATCTATTTTATACAGTCGATGTAAGAAGAAAGCGTGTAGTCGTCGGTTCGAACGAGAAATTCGTAGAGATTTATTTACTACGAAACATGTTCACATAAAGCTGTGTATATATTGTTAAAAATTCAAAGAGTATAATTTTCTTAAATTTG